CATAAACGGATGCAAGCTGCCGTAAAAACCAAAAGAAGAAGAACAACTCCCTCCTCTGTATATTTACCTCCCAGACTCATTACTCTGCACCTTCCTAGTACCCTGCCTGTTTTTCTAAGTTTTCCTTCTGTTTCTTTACCTAAGTAACTCATAAATAGTCAAAGTATTATAATTTTTTGTCTCTGATTTTTCTGGACTATCTTCTCTTGTTCTGCTTGGTCATGGCTTTAATATTCTAACACTTGAGCTAAAACTTGCATAACTTTCTTTTGCTTCTAAAGGAATTCCTGACTCTGCAAAAAGCCTTCAGCAAGCGAGCATTTTGCTTTCCCGAAAGTAAAAAGTAAAAGTAAATTAGCCCTCGGTGCGACCGCAAATGAACAAAAATTAAAATCTTTGCAGACGTACTGCGTGTGCTCAAACAAATGTTTCGTACTTCTTATCCACTTTGTGTCCTTGGCCTGCTGCATATTTTTATACTTCCTGTCCTTCAGTGGTTGCCACTATTATAGCACCAATTATGATGGGTTTTCTTTCTCGAAGATGCTTTATTGTTTGCCTCTGTGTCCCAAAGGTGGGATAGAAAGAGATGCTGAGGGGAGAGCTGGGAGGCTTTCAGCCGCATGCACAGTGGAAGCTGGATGATTGTTTCCGCCTGCATACGCTTGGTCACTGCGCTGTGGAGAGTCTCATTAGTATGGATGTCGGCGCCTCTCCTTCAGCTGAACCTGCCATACCACTGTAGTAGTAAAGCTGCCTGCCTGCCGCATTGTCCCTGTACAGATGATTTGAGCTCCTCTTCGTCCAACCTCATCATTACATCACAGGAGATGTTTGCTATGCATGTGCAGCAGGTAAAAGTCACGCTTCGTGATGCACTTTCATGTGTCTGTAAGTGAAAAGACAGATTAAAAGGCTCTGCTTCAAAGTGTTTGGTCTCAGCTTTTATGTAGATGTTACTTTGGAGCCAGTGTTTTCTACGTTACTGCAGCTCGAGCATTACTCCAAGGCTGTGGGCCGCTCTGAAAGGAGCTGCTTTCACTAACAAGCTGGTTCTTCCCAGCAGAATGGAAACTAGCCAAGCATGGCTCAGCTAACATGAAAAGAAATTTCCTTGCACAGCGTCCTGCAAGATTACTCAGACGGCTCGAAAGTTTGCACATAATGTCATGCTAAAGCCTTAAAAAGTTCCTTTATTGCGGTCCATGTGTTAGAACAGCACAAAGAGAAATGGAAGGGCTTTATAAATGGAGAATTTATAGGCATGTGTAATTCTCCCATTTGAGTCAATTCTTCATAGAGCCACATTTCAGTGCACTTGCAGCTGCACATATTTTGAAGTTTACCCTGCCAGGCTAGCATACATATACAGAGATTTTTGCTATTATTATTTACGGTTTACACTTGATCGGGTTAGAGGGATGTTTTTTTTTTTTTTTTTGTGAAAATCAATTTTTTAACTGTTGCCACATATTAAAAATTTGATCCATTCTAGAACATTCTTCAGGATTTGAGGTCTAAGCCGTTCCTCTAGAGCTCTGGCTGGATATGTTCAGTGTTGTTGCTCATCTGCAAGGTGAAGCTTTCATGATTCATTTGTTTGAGTTCTTCTTTCCATGTTCAGTTCATTATTGTCTTTAGGGTCTTTCTGTATAAGTTAATTTCTTACTTAATTCTTATGTTTTGTTCTCAGTGTATTTTATTTTTTTCTCTGTGTTAATTATTCACTTTCTGTTTTGATCTCCTCCACATCTGTTTCATATTCCCCTGATTTCACTCACTGGTGCTCATAACTGTTTCATTTCTTTATGCTACATTTGCTCCATGTCCTGTTACTCTTATGCACAGTTTGTAAGACTACTGACCCTTTCATTTAACTCTCTGTTATGCTGATCCGGAGCTCTTGCTTCTCCGGGTTCGGTCCAACTTCAAACTTGCATTTAACAAGTTTTCACAGCTTTGACCTGCTTCTCTTATCATTTTTCACAATGGTAGTTTTTGCATGAAGGCCAAAACATTGTTTTTGTGTCCGATCTGACTGGACAAAGTCTTTTCAACAGTTGTTCTCTTCTTGCCACTCTTCCATTACGGTCCCATTTTGCTGTTTATAGATAATAGTTGTCATTGCTGCAGCTCCTCCAGAGCTAACATGTCTGCCTTCCTGATCATACTCTTCTCTGATGTCTTAATGTGTCTGCCTCACTGCAAACACATTAAACTTCTCCACAACTTGATTTCCAATCTGTCTGCTGGATTTCTTGGTCTTCGTGATGTTTGTTTGTTCTCTGACAAACCGCTGAGGCCTTAACAGAAAAGCTGGATCTGTATGCGCATTAGTTTGGTGATTTAGAAACACAAGGGGTGGTCACAAATTTTACTGAGTGGTGTCAGAGTAAAGGGGGCTGAATGCAAATGCTTCAGAGCTTATTTGCTTCTTATTTGCAAAACCGTCAGAAAATTGTGTCCTTTTTTTCTTCCACTCAGACAAGTTCACACATGAAGTTTGTTGGAACAAGTCTCCAGCCAGCATCTCCAAAATGCAAATGATCCCTCGCTGTTGTTTCAATGCTAGACTCGGCGAAAGACTTGCTGCTGGTGGCTCGCTGCCTGGATGAGCCAGATCAATCTACTTCATGACGGAAAGAGGGTAGAATGTTCTTGCTGGTTGCCCATTATCATTTCTGCGATAATGTTTTACAGTAACTAAATGCAAGCAAGCGGCTATCAAAAAATTTCACATTGATGCCTGAGAGTGCTGTTGAGTCAAACTAATATACTATTCAAGACTTGATGTGTTTTTGGAGTCAAACAACCAAGTGACTCTGATGTTTTGGGTGATCTAAAGTGAACAGAACCCGGTTTATGCGTAAAAATGTCTGTTTTGTTGGATTTTAATTGGAACTGGTTCAGCTGGTTTGCTCGCAGTATTTGTTTGTTTACTCTGACAGTCTCAGAAGCTTCACAGGTCCGTGTCCAAGTGCGGTAAGGACATTGAGGGAAAACGTCGTCACGTGCGAGGAGGAGGCAGATGTTTGGGAGCCAAGCTAAGCAGTTGAAAAAGGGAAAAAGTGTGAAAATTAAATCCCAGGAGCACAGATAGTAGGAGCAAATCAAAGATCATTGCAGAAGAGATTTATGTGGAAGCAGGGGAAGCAACGAAATAAAGAGATATGGAAAAATGTGCAAATGTGGTATTTCTGGGGAACAGCCACTTAAAATTTCATGTTCCATTTATTTTAAGAAATGCAATGAAGTTTAAATACAACTTTTTCTCCTTGTTTATTTTAAGGTGGTGTTACAGAGACAGAAATGTTTTTTTCTTCAGAGCTGGTAGTTATTAACCGTGCAGAGCATTCTCACATGACATTTGAAACACAGTAGTAGAGTCAGAAAAAAACATGTTCACAGAAAATGTATTATTTTGCATAGTGCGTAGCCAATACCACACGTATTGGTAAAACTGTGTTAAAATTCTATAAATATTTTTTTTTGCAGTAGCAAAGTCTCGCATATGATTTTTTTTTTTTTTACTTTTACTAGGCATGAAAAATACACTCCACTTTAAGAAGTTACTCCTTTTAAATGAATGCAGGGAAGTTTCCTGAAATGTTTCTAAACCAGAAGGGGGACACATAAACCAGAAAACCTTATCAGAAATTTATCGTGCTATTACCACATCAAGGGCTTCGTCCAGGAGTGTGTTGAAAATATTTAAAAGTGGAGAGCCATGAAGGACAAAAAATAAATAAATAAAAAAAAACTGCATGAATAAATAAGTTAATGCTGCAACTCATTGTTTGTCCTCTCCTCTCTTTAACTCATATTCATAAAATACATTATGCATTTATATTAATAATCCTTTCCTCCATGCTTACCTGGGGTATAAGTGTGGAAAACAGAGGCCCATTTCTTTTAGCAGCTCTTCAAAATGGGAAAGACTAGAAAACATGCCCTTCAGAAAAGGCTACTTGTGTAAACTGTCTTCCTGCTACTAAACACCACAGTATAGCTTCAGGTCTATTAAGATAGCAAAACAAGCATGTGGTCATAATGTTATGCCCGATTAGTGTCTGTTACTCCATGTGAAGTTTAGTAAAGTTATGTAAACGACTCATATTTTGTTCATTAGGGCCATTGCGTGATATTGCTTTACATACAAGACTGTCTTGTGAAATGTCAATGGGTTTTAGTTTAATTCTTTCTTGTCTGTTTAGACACCAAAGCTACTTGCTTGGTTTAAAAAAAGTATTTTAAAAGAACATAATTTGACTTAAGAGGGTTTGAAATTGATGCGAAGAGAGTGAGGCAGCCTATTTTGGCTCACAGCTGTTTACATGCAGAAAACTAACACGCAAACACTGCGTTTGTCATCTGGGCTGCTTTGACTTTAGGGTAAGTCTGTCAACAAACACATGAATCACAATTTAAATTAATGTGTCCCATTTAACTGATCCACTTTCTGGAGAGTTACTGTTCAGCTGAGGAAAACAGGCCTGTCGTCCTTTTTTCCTTCCAATTTTTAAAGCATCAAAGCAAAGTGAGGTTTATTCTGTCCATGATTGACAGGAATGGATGACAGTACGAGTATGTAAAGGACCTGAGCGAATATTTTCTCCCTCTGAGCTCCATTGTCCTTCGCCCCACCTCGAGGCCAGAGGATAAACTCTCTTCTCTCTCTGCGCCGCTCCACTCTGTCATCTCTCCTGGGTTTCATTCAGCCAGTGTGACAATAAGTATATGGCTGCGCTCAGCTTTGCAAAGTCACCTGATTATGCAATATTCTGTTTTTAGCCCTCACAGCATCGGCTGATCTGTTAATTTTGCAACATAAAAACAAACAAAAACAAATAATCAGAGATAAAACTCGCTGTTATTAGAGCTCTGCCTTGACGTTAGGTGAAATAAATTGGACGACAATGCGTAGCCGCAGTAGGCCGTGGTACCACACAGACCCCCTGCTGTGTGCTGTTTGCGACTTTCCACTAAATTTTAAGACGATGCATTTCAGTCATAGTTGTTCTGTAGGCTCTGCTTCGCACCTGCTGCAAAGTAATGCTTGCAGCAGGGGGGAGTTTTTCCAGGCGTGACCCAGAAATGCTGATACCCAACACTTTTGCACCTTGTGCTCTCCCAGTGAGACATATTGACATTTTCTCTCACCGTTTTTGATGGTGCATTTGGTCCTGCTAGATGAGAGTCCCATACACCAAGCCGTGACAGGTCTGTTGAGCAGCAGTCTCATCTCACCATTTACGTTTTCTCATTTGCCCTCTACTCTTTGTCTACTGTTCTGCCTCACGTCTCTGTCCGGTCGACTTTCATGTCTCGGTTTCTCTGGAAGCCTTCATCTTCTGATTAGAAAGTTTTGTTAAACATTTTTTTTTTCCATGTCAAATTCCAGGTTGTTTAAGCCTTCGTCTTTCCCTCCCTCCTCATTTGTTTGAGCTTTCATTAATGGTGTTTTGATTAGCATAAATGAGTAATGCTTTCTTTTTCTTGTCATTAAAATTGAAATAACAGGAAAGCAAACTGCTGGAATAAATTAAATTGGAAGCTTTAGATACATCTCACCAGTATCTGGTTGGTAAGGGTGTGACAACTTTTCTTCAGAAATGTTAACCGTTCCGTTAAAAAAAACGGAGCAGCACTTGTCCTTTGACCCGCACCACGTCATAAACCCCATTGAGAAGCTTCCTCTGAGATTTTGCTCCATTTTTGGCAAGATTTCATCATGAAGTTGCCACAGATTTACGATGTAAATCTCCCATTCCACCCACCAGACGTGCTCGAAGTTCACCCAACAAGTGGTTGTGACTTTTACAGAATGGAGTATAAATTAATTCCTATATTTTCATTCTGAGCACGCCGTTTTGTGCCCCCATCCCTCCTCAGTATATTATGAAAGAGACAAGAGGCACTCTAATCAGGGTTGGAATATTTCATCATGCAGTATTTCTCTTTGTTGTCAGGATTTGTTTCTTTTTTATTTGGTCTTTCGTTGTGGAGGAGGCATGTTTTCCCTTTCTTGGCCTCTCAGAGATTATTTCCACTATCATAAATCATTGCTGTTAGATAATTTTGGCTCAGACTGCCGACTTTTCCATTACTGTACAAAAAGCTCCCTGAACCTTGCAGAAATGAGGCGTGGCTTAAACGCAAATGGATGGATGAATTAGCACAAAAAAATGTGCAAAATACTGCAAAATAGCAGTTTATTTCGGGAAACTTGACTTGTGATATTTTGTGTTTGAGATTTTTATTTATTTGCCATTATTTTGAAAGAAAGAAAAATAAAAAATAAAATTTCAAAATATGTTGCTTATGATTGATTTGTTAAGGCAATAAAAAGGGTAAAACATCCTAAGGGTGAATACTTTAAGTCTTGTTGCTTTATTATTTTTAATCCTGTTTTTTTTAATTATTATTATTTGGTTTTTTGAAGGCTGGATATTGAAAAATGCAAATACATATACAGCTCTGGAAAAAAATAAGACTGCCAAATGATCAATTCACTGATTTTACTCTTATAGGTTTATGTTTGAGTAAAATTAACATTGCTCTTTTATTCTATGACCTACAGACAACATGTCTCCGAAATTACAAGCAAAAATGTTGTATTTATTTGCACAAAATCAGAAATGATCAGAATAATGAAAAGACACAGTGACTTCAGACCTAAAATAATGCAAAGAAAATAAGTTAATATTCATTTAGAAACAACAAGACTAATGTTTTAACTCAGGAAGAGTTCAGAAATCAGTATTTGGTGGAATAACCAGGAGGTTTTCACTGCAGTGGTCTCTTAAGTTTTATAGGAACTTTATGCACCAGCTGTCTAAAACAGGCCTTCGTCACTCCTGTACTGTTTTCATGGGACTCCTCTTCTTCTATCGATTGAATCAACTTTGTTCTGAGATCAAGGCATTCCCCTCTGCTCAACATGTGGTCAGGTTTCAGCATTTCATTATCAAAGACCTCTCCGAGTATCTGGCACCCAAAGTGCTGATCCCTGACTCTGAGCGACGTATCCTTGGATAAAGAAACTGTAACTCTTGCATTATTTATGTGCCTGCTGTTTGGTATGGAAATATTGAACACTGTTATTTCTTTTCCAGGACATGCTCTCCTACTGGCGTAATGTACTCCCAGATGACTTAGACCGTCAGCTGATCCAGAAAGTCTCTGAAACAGAACTTTTCCCTTGTATTTAAATACAATTAAAAAGTTACAAATTGAGAATGTTTTCAGACTAAAAGTGATGCTTTCTTCTACTTTTTTATTTATCTCTCAGATCCATATAAGTTATCCTCCCGTTAGCTTCACATTGCTTTGTTTCACAGTTCAAGCGAATCCCCTCTTTGTCAGAAACCTTAAGGGAATATATGTTAATTTGAAGCTCTCAGAAGGTTCTGACTCATTTTTTCTCGAGCAAACTAGCAATCCATCCTGCTGACTCACAGCATGTTTCAGATGCCGATGTTGGGTTCTGGTCCTTCCAGTCGAACTGAATCATAAACTTAAAAAAAAAAAAAAAAAGGACAATTGCTTCAATTATATGTAATTACATTCACACTAGCTTGCAAAGTGGTCTTTAGACTTTGAAACCTGACTTAATTTCCCTATAAACATCCTGACCTTGAGCAAACTGAAACCTTAAAAAACGGTTTATTTTTACCTCTGGGGTCAGAAACTTCAAGTGTCAGGAAAAAAACATGTGATCAAATTATTTAAACTCACATATTAATAATATATTATTTGAATAAAGTTAGAAATTGTGATGTTTAAAAATCCCCTCAGTGCACAAGATTGACCCTTTGTTCAAAAAACCTTTAAAGTTTATTTTATATTTTTGGGTGTAAAAGATATTTGTTCTCTTTGAACTTAATTTCATGATTATATGATAGTATCTTATTTTTTATTTTATTTTTATTCTTCAATATCTCTCTAGGGGCTAAGTACATACTGGTGAAAGAACAAACTAATGTTTTTAAAAATATAGCTATAATAACAAACTTTTTTTAGCATTTATTGCTATTTTAATGGTCAAACTAAAAATGTCCTGTTGTAAATGTTTCAGATTATAAGCTATCTTTTTTCAAAAGGTCATGTAATATTTGTGGCTCTAAAGGAGTTTAATTTAGTCAAACTGAGGGCAGAAATATTTCTTTGAATTGTAAAGGTTGCAGATCCCTAATTTAGTTCAGACATATTCAAATCCCAAAATGTTTTGCAGCTGCAATTATTTTACACAATCATTTAAATAAAATAACCCCTCATATTTAGGCCACACAGAGCAAAAAGTAAATTGGTAATTTTTAAAATATTATTTATTGCATTCAGTAAGATATCTGTGAACAATACCTTGCTGCAGTGTTACAATTCTCTCTTTATTGGGGTGATTTGTACTTGCTGCAGCAACTATTGCTGTCTGCTCAAAGTTTATTATTATTCCTTCGTGAAGCTGTAATTCGGCTTCAGTTTCACATGTAAGATTTCTCCGGTGATTCAGCAGATCTCAGCCCTGACAGCCGTCCTCGGCCTGGCGATAAGCTGTGCCACCAAATGTTACTCGTGTGTGTTTGTGTGTGTGCGTAGCCTTGTGTTTGATACATTTTAGGGACCATTTTCCTAACACATACTACATTATGGCGACCAACTGAAGAGCTGTATGGGGTTAGGGTTTAGGTTTTGGGACTAAAAAGTATGAATTGAGCTAGGGTTAGTTATATACTGATAATCAAGTTTCAAGTTTATTTTTACAGCACATTTCAGCAGTTCAAAGTGCTTTACATCACAGAAAGGTCATGAGAACTCCGTACAGTCAACAGATGTGAAGCCAGTAACAAACATTACATTTTGTCCAATATCATTAACAAAATCGTCAATGACCATTCAATATTTTGGTCAAAGTTTCAGTGATTATGGGTCAAAAGTAACTCTGAATAATATTTTTTTAGTCTTAATTTAAAGGGACCGAGTGATTTGGATGTTTTGCACATAGAAGCTGAATGCTGCTTCTCCTCATTTGGTCCTGGGGATGCAGAGCAGATCAGAACCAGAAGACCTGAGGGGTCTGGAGGTTGATACAACAACAGCAGATCTTTAATGAATTATGGCGGTGCTAAGCTGTTTAGTGATTTATAAACTAACAACAGTATTTTAAAGTCTCTGAGCTACAGGGAGCCGGTGTGAGGACGTTAAACTGGGGTGATATGGTCTAACTTCCTGGTTTTAGTCAGAACATGAGCAGCAGTGTTCTGGATTAGCTTCAGCTGTTTGATTTTTTTTATTTTATTTTATTTTTTTAGGGAGACCTATGAAGACACTGACAGTAATCAATGTAACTAAAGATAAAGAAATGTATAAATTTCTTTTGATCGTTCTGGGACAATCGTCTTTAATCCTGGAAATGTCCTTCAGGTGATAGAAGACTGACTTTGTAATTATCTTTATGTGTCTTTGAAGGTTCATGTCTTTGAAAGTTTGTCACTACACCCAGATTTCTGGCTTGATCACTAGTTCCTAGTTGTAGATCATTCCTATTTGGATCCAAAGTTAAGAACTTCAGCTTTGTATCTGTTCAGCTGGAGAAAGTTGTGGCACACCGATGCAGTGATTGATGTGTAATGGTTAGCTTCAAGCTCAAGGTCAATGGAGTTTTCCTGCAAAAACAGAGAAACGTAACATGTGTGTTTTAGCCATTTCTCATCTTGCCTGTTTTTCCAACCGAAACCACACTGTGAGGACCGATTGCTCCCTACAGAGCTCAAAGTCCTTAAGAAGAAGTGCTATTTTTTGGGTAAGGTGTAGGGCAAAGGTCAGGGTTAGGGTATAAAAATGAATTAAAAATGAAAGGAAGTCAATGCAAAGTCTTTGTGAAGGTAGAAAGACTGAATATGTACATGTGGTCGTGCAGTCGGCCTGACAGGAGTGGGTCGGCCATGTGTGATGGAGTACTCACAGCGGACTGACCAGAGTAATGAAAAGTGCATGACTGCAGCTGATACCCGCGGCCCGACTCACCTGAAATGGCTCTGACACACACATGCACCCGATTCCCAAATGCAATAAACCTAACATGTTTTAGAGGTCATTCATATCTGATTTATAGTCGACGCCATCGAGGCTTAGAAGGTGTAAAGCCTGTTTACGCGTTGTCAGCGACACTGACCAGAAATCCATGAATTGTACTGTTGAAAATTGACCAGTTCAAGACAACTGCACCCAAAGGAGATGGATTCTTCTTCGTTTATAATGGCTGCTTCCTCCACAAAGGTCCTGTGGTCACGGACGGGTGGGTGAGGGTTTTTGTCGACTTAAGGCACAATGTCGCTGTCAGATCAATAAGATGTGTAGAGCTGTCTCCTGGGTGTTGTCCTCTGGAAAGCCTTTGGCAGACATTTGATCAGAGAGGGTTTGTCGTTAGTACAAGGGCACATGGTGTGAGTGATGAGTGTGGCAGATTGACAAAGTGATGCAAGAGTGCAGCATTGTCAGCACAGATGTTGCTAACTGGAAGGAAAATGTCAAAGAAGACACAAAGAAAAATGTTCACCTCACCTGCATGCCAAGGCAACAGAAGAAGAATGATGAGAGGGTCTTAGAAAACTCACTGCAAACATTACAATCCTCAACTTCATTTAGAAGATTCAGGACATTGTGTAAACAAAATCCAAGTTTTATTGAAAACTAAACTTCGGTTTAGAAAAGAAAACCAAACAGAAGGTAAATTTACAAGTCCTGAATAACGCAACATTTAGATGGCTGGGCACTAAAACAGCGCAATACCAAAATCAGATCTTAGAATTGTTTCGGTACCAGGATGGATGGCTGAATTATTATTCTTCCTTCAGTACAAAGCTCATACTTTCAGTTTCTGCATGATTTCATACAACGCATGCCTCCAGCTGTCCAGGTTCGTAAAAGTGTAGCGTTAAAGTGTTGGCATGATTATGCCAACACTATGTTTCGCTTTGAGGTTGGTGCATTCAGGGTGTTGATTTTCCAGCACCTTCTGCCACATGTCTGTGGTGTTTTGCTTTTTGCAAACCTTAAACTTCTTACTGATTTCTTTAAACAATGCCTCTGTTCTTGCAAGTCTTCCATGCAGGTCAGAATTATGGAGTGCATGAGTAAAACTTTCCATTAATAGATTATTCAATCTTAGCAACGGATTGCTACATCTCCATCTTATTGCAAAGTAATAAAAACTTTTATGGCAAAGTTTTTATTACTTTGCAATAAAAACTTTTAAATGCAAAGTTTTTATTGCATTCAAAAAACTTTGCAATAATGAAGACTTACATTATTGTCACAGTCTGTTAATGTGTGTTCATGTTGTAGCAATTTAAGCTTCAAAAGTAAATTTTTGTGCCACATTTGGGCACAGTTCAGATGTCACACTGGGACAGGTGGTCTATAGATAAAACTCACAAGGAAAGGGACAAAACAAAGCAAAAAAAGAAAACGAACTGAAAGATTGACAGATGTACTTCTGGAGAGATGCAGATAGTTTTTCTGGCAACATCACAGTGAATTTGTGAGTTTCTCCAAAAACAGGGAGCATATCCAGTCTTGAGTGCACCTGTTGTACCATGGCAGAAAAGTCTAAAAGCTCTTTGTAACAAAAAAAAGAGCTTTGAAATCATGATGGTGTATTTTGATCTTCTCCATCCATAAACAAAACAATCTGAGAAAGCTCTACAGTATCCCCCGTTCCCCCTTCCTAAAAGAGCTGTTGCTCTTGTATTTACTTACTTGTTTCTTTTTTTTTCTCTGCAGAACGATTAGGAACACGTATTCATCAGTTTATCTGCGTTCATGTCGTTGCTGATCAGCATGACGTCTGTGCCGTGCCTTGATTGTTGTAAGCTATTTACAGTCTTCTGTCTGCGTCTTTGTCTTCTGCAGTCTATTCTCAGATGGCGGCTTGCAGAGTCTGCTGCCACTGACATCAGCCAGATATGTTTTGAGATAAATGGAGCCGATAAACAGATTAAATGGTTAGGAAATTGCTTTGTGTCCATTTGTTTCTGGTGTTTGAGTGTTTTTTAAGCAATGAATTGAGAATAAACCCTGTGAACCCTCATTCTGGGAGATGGGTTGTCTATATATGTTTTGGTTGATGCTTTTAGTGTTTTGCATTAAAAACTTTGCATTAATTTGTCCCTTTTTTTGGGAATACATAAAACTTTTATGTGATGTGGTGCAAATATATGCCAAATGTGATGCAA